CTGCTGGTGCTTATCGCCTAATCAGGCAGACCGAATCCAAGCCTTCTCATTGCAGTATTGTGGGGAGACTTATTGATGTTAATTCGTGCCTGTCTTCGGTGACCTGCGGCGCATAAGCTGCTAGCCGCCCGCAGGTGCTCACCACCTCCCTAATCAGGCAGACCGAATCCAAGCTCTCTCATTGCCATGTTGAGGGGAGGCCTTACTTTTCTCTATTTCTCTACCTCCGGGCATTCCTATCTCTCCTATTTTACTTCTATCTGCCAGCATTCCTATTTCTCTCATTTTACTTCTAGACTTCTGTTTCTCTTATCCCTGCGGCTTCCCGGCGCCCACCCTGAGGCTGCTTCTCGGCAGCTTCCGGGCTCTGAGTCGCTTCAGCCCGCGCTTCTCTCATCTGCGCGGCTTCCCGGCACCCGCCCTGCGGCGGGCTCCCGGCTCTGCGTGGCTCGGCTTCGCGTGCACACTCCGTGGTCTCCACGCCCTTCGCGCCTGCACCACGGCCTCGCGCCAGCCCCGCGTTCCCTATCTATTCACGCCCCGTGCTTTCTCTGCACGCGGCGGCTTCCGCGAATCACACAGCGTAGCTCACGTTTCCGCCGCCGGCATTCAGTCCAAGTTCCCCGGACTAACCTGGCGAATTCCAACCTGGCGGCCCACGTCTCTGCCTCTGGTTCCAGATTTTCGCCTTTTGCTCCCCGGGCTGACTTGAAGAATTCCAAGCTGGCTTACGTCTCCGCCTCGGCCTGCACTCGCGGCTTCATCCTCCCTAACATTTTTCTCTACCCGGTATGTTTCCCTAACTTTTCTTCCAACAACAATATTCCCCTCTCATTTCTCCTGGCCTCTCCCCACAGTCCGCATCCGAGTCCAAGCCTCCTCCAGGTTTCACTTTCGCTTTCAATCTCCTAGCTTCCCCGCCATAGTCTGCATCCGAGTCTATGAAAGCTTTCACTTTCTCTTTCAATCCTAACTTCTTTCCCACAGTCCATATCCGAGTCTATGCCTAGGCTTTCAATAGCTTCTTCCGGCACCTTTTCCGACCGGCTTTCCCCTAGGCTCTTTGCTAGTCTCTCTCTCCGGTATTTTCCCACTTCTTCCCATTTCTTCCCTCCTAAGTTTCTTATCCGAGTCACAGCACCATTATGTCGCTCCCCCTCTTCATGGAGGAACGACACAGGACCCTGCCTAGGCTTCATATCCGAGTCACAGCACCATTATGTCGCTCCCCCTCTTCGTGGAGGAACGACACAGGACCCTGCGCTGTTCTTTTGTCTGCTCAGCCCTCCCCGGGTTTGCTGCTGGTTCTTCCTGGGTTGGCTGCCGTCCCTTCCACCTCCGTGGAAGGGCGGTTCCCCCTGCCACATTCCCCACTTCCGCAGGGGAGCGGCACACCGCCGGCCGGCTCTCTTGGGGGCTGCACAGGTGTTCCTTCAGATAGATGTTCCTGGTGCATGTTGTCTCTCTCCTCCTTTATAGTCCTCTTCCACCAATCCCAACTCGGCTGCCCACACGCCGAGTATGCTGCTCTCCTCCAATCAGGAGCAGGTCCTACAGTTTATTGGTTGAACTGGAGGCAGCTGTGTAGAAGCTGTTTCTTCCTTCTCAGCGCCGTATTGTGGGAGAGCAGATGCATAGAATAAGTCTTAATTCCAGTAACAGTCTAGTCCGAGTTGCTCCCAGTTGCTCCCCACACATATTCTTGAACAGATGGGAGGAGAATTTTAACATGACTGAGAATAACACTGCTGGATTTAATAAACAGCAATTCTGTTGAATGGAAGCCCCATCTACTAGTTCCTTAAAAGATTGAGAAAATCATAGTCAAAGCTCTCCCAATAAAAAGATAGTAAGTTCCTTATCTAGTTCCCTTATTACAGAAGACAAATTTGAAAAATTGTAGAGCGTTAAATGAAGGTACACTGTCGTTTTTATTTTTTTCAATTTAAAGTATCTTTAAGAGAAGACAGAAGATAACACAGTATTCCTTAGTGACAACAGACCAGCAACACAGAAAATTAAGGGTAGCCAGTGAATATTTTTAACTTCAAACCTTACTACAATTTGTTTTTCATCAGGTTAACTACCCAGGCAAAGTGAAGAGGAAAACAGAATTATCTGAATGATTTGAGGAAGTTATTTTGGCTTGGCCTACCTTGACATTTGAAGTAAATGGGTCTCTCACCTTTCTGAAATTATCACAAAACCCACCTCAGCTCTCCATACTTTTTCTACTTCAGCAGCAAGGACTGTCTACATGGGACTGGGGATGCATAGAGGAAGGCTTTTACACAGCTGTGAAGAACGAACAACCTTTAAAATGTTCATGTTAAATATGTAATTGATCATATGGATAGGATTAAGTGTCAAAGGGATCACATGAATAAGACCAGGCTTCTGGCTCCTGATCAGCACAGTTCTAGCCATTGTGGCCAATTGGGGAGTGAACCAGCAGATGAAAGATCTTTTTCTACCCCTCCTTCTCTGTATAACTCTGACTTTCAAATAAATCAATCTTTTTTTAAGAATTAAAAAGCAGAGAATATTCCAATATGGGAAGCAGTCCACACAGCAGACTCATAGAATGACAAATCTGCTAAACAGCACTCTGACCTCAGAATCAGCTCATAAAGTATTCTGGTAGGACTGAAAAGCCCATGAAAATATTTCAGGCATGGAAAGCCAAGACATTGTGGTGAAAAATGTTCTACATGAAGGATCTCTGTAAATGAGACCCCGGTGGAAAGAAGGGGCCAAAAAAAAAAAGATGTACTTTTCTCTGAAGGGAGGAGAGGACTTCCACTTTACTTATGACCCTGTCTAAATACTGATGGAGTTTGTGGTCTCAAAAGGCTTTCATAGTCTTGGCAGCTCATGTCAAGAGCCTCTGGTGTTATTCAAAGAGTACTTTATACTTTGTCTGTGTGGGTGCAATCTGTTGAAATCTTTACTTAGTGTATACTAAATTGATCTGTATATAAAGATACTTAGAAATGACTATTAGTGAAGAATGGGATGGGAAACGGAGTAGGAGATGGTATGGTTTGTGGGTGGGAGGGTGGTTTTGGGGGGAAGAATTGCTATAATCCAAAAGTTGTACTTTGAAAATTTTTATTAAATAAAAGTTTAAAAAAAAGAAAAAAGAGCCTTGGGTGATCACTGTCATCATAAATAAGTGTTAATTGTTAAATTAACAACAGAAGTTACTGTGTACTTACTCCCCATGTAGGACCTCTGTTCTCAATGAGTTATACTAGGAGAATTAACTGCAAAACTTTTTCTCAAGCAGTACTTTATACAGTGTGTGTTTGTGTGTGTGTGCACACACGTGCGCGCAAACTATTGAAATCTTTACTTAGAATCGAGTTGGTCTTCTGTATATAAAGTTAATTAAAAATGAACCTTAATGAAGAATGGGATGGGAGAGGGAGTAGGAGGCGGGATGGGAGTGGGGATGGGAGGGCGGATATGGGGGGAAGAACCACTATATTCCTGAAGTTGTACCTATGAAATTTGCATTCATTAAATAAAAGCTTTAGAAAAAATGGACAACCTTGACACCCCACCCCAGTCACTTGCTGAATGTGCACACTGGGAAAACCTTGACTAAGGAATTATACTTCTAGAAATCTACCATAGAGAACTACTATCAAAGAGTATAAAAATAAGGCATATGAGAATATTTATTCTGTTTATTATAGCAGAAAGTTGTAAAGAGCCTGACCATCATGGCGATTATTGTTCAGCATAAAGTCTGGTAGCAATGGTCCATATGGGAACTTTTAGCCACCTAGCACAAGAATAGCCACATGTGGATGGTACCACCACCTGATGGTGTGTTGAAGTGTGGCAGAACTTTCCTTATTTTTCTATACTGGTGCTTCATAATCAACAAATGCATCACCTGCTTATTTATAAGCATATTTTGCTTTTTTGGTTGGATTCTTCTCCTTGATCCCAGGGTAGACACTATATTGAAGCAAGAAAACAGTTTTTCATGACCATTGGAAAATTTGGAAGCTCATGGTTAGTGACTGTCATAATTGTTTTGTTTACAGCAGCTGCCTTGAAACTTGGCGTTCTGTTATTTTGTTCTGGGTATGACATCTGTTAATGCTGCTTTGATGAAATGGCAGATAACCATTCCTCAGTATTATAAGATAGTTTTAGAATTTACCAAAGCCATGAAAAAAGCACTAAGAAATATACTCAGGAATTTCTATATGAGTTCCACTAGGAATTGCAGAGTAACTCATATGCAACCATCAAAATATTTCACACAGCCTAGATGAGGAGATCAAACTGGGACAAAGGCATTACCTTGTATATTTACCTTAAAACATAAAACTTTCCAGTATTCGAGAAATATGGCTGTGTAAAGTTGAGTGGTTTCATAATGCTATTTTCCATAAAGAAGAATAAATTTCAGTTATATTGACCCTTGACATTCTTAATCTGTGACTTTTGTTGCCAACCACAAAGATGAAGAAAATAAATGCAGAAGACATTAAACCTGGCATTTGTAAAGATTTATCTCTCATCATCAAATCACTTGCTTTGCAAGTGACATTTACAATTCCAGAAGGATTTACGCAGGTGTGGGACAAAGTTATTTTTGTAGTTCAAGGAGACAGCTTTGCAAAAACAGTAACAAAGGGATTTTCACAGTGTATTGTGAAGGGAATAATGAAGTTGTCTTAAACACCAATTTAAGGATATACTCAAGCTGCTGGAAAATTTGTTCTTGTGAAACTAATGTACCACTTGGAATAACAATTCTCCTTTCATGAACAAATTAATGTGGTCCACCTCTTTCCATAGTGAAGTACGTGTTTGAACAAACTTCAGATAAATATAAATCTCTTAATCTTTAGTTTTTTACTCTGGTCCAGAATTCCTAATCTGTGATGTTAAATTCAAGATTTGTAGAATATATGAATATCAGATAATATTGTCTTCTAAAACAAGTAATGAGTTTGATTGGTCTTAAAGAAACTTACCGCATAGTTCCTCTGTGTCAAGATTGCTGAAAAAGATATTTTAAAAAGTATTATTAATTTGGTGATATTTTTCATGTTTTTAATAGTAAAATACAGTTTTTCTCCATAATTATGTTAATATATGGCATCTAGCTGGGTATTTCTTTTAAATTCTACTTTGTCTAAATAGTAATAAGATTAACAATAATTATGCCAAGTTCTGTCTAAGGGAAAAAATATTCCTTGGGTTTGTGCTTCACCCATCAAATAAATGAGGACATAATGCATAATGGTGAAGGCGGCCCTGGAGCCAGAGGCCCGAGTCCAAATCCTGACTCTACAGTTTACTTTCTATGTGACCCTGGGCACTTTACATCTCTGTCTCAGTTCCTCAGTACCAAGATGGAGATAATTTCTGCTTCATATGAATGCTGTAGAATTTAAATACATGTGAAATAAATAATAGCTGGCACACAATAAACACTTGTTAGCTACCATTTCTGACTTGATAGAACTACTAGAATTTCCATATCTAAATATAATCGTTGAGGTAATTTGATTCAATGCTTATTCCAAGCTTTTGTAAAACATATTAAAGGCTTCCATATCAACATTTAAATGTCAATAGTAGAAACACATTGCTAATAGATGGGAGTATGGAGAGACAGAAAAGGAATGACAGAAGTGGAGAATTCTTGGATTTTTTTAAAAAATGAACCAAACTTAAAAAACATATTGGATTCAGGATTAGGTAGCCGAGATATTTAAAAAATACCGTTGAAAACATTTTATTCATCAAAATACATGTTGTTCCCTAATCTTAGTATTTTTGTAGAACTTCAGACTTGAAAAGGACCTTAAGGGTCACTGTTTTTGTGTTTGTTCTATACACAATAGCTCACAGGTTCACAATGAGATTTATTTTGAATTTCCAGAAGAATGAACAACTGTACTACTGAAAATTAAATTGCTTGAAATATATCACAAAACACAACAATTTCCAGTGACTTAGCTCTACTTGCTTCTTAATAAAACAGTTTGTAAAATACCATAGTGTTTATGGCTTCAAACATTCTATTCTCTACTTGTGTGCTATGTTGCTAGCAGCAGGCAGTAGAACACTGTCCTTACATGGATGAACTCTGGTAGAACTGATTTCTTACCGAGATACGTTTCCATCCTGCAGTGATATCAGATTGTTAAAGGAATATTGGGCCAAAGATAAGCCTAGAGCATATCTGATAGCAGGCAATATTTTCCTGCTTATTCTACTATTAATAGCAGGAAACACTACCATATGTTAGTATTGCCATCTTACTGATTCACACACACACACACACACACACAGAGAGAAAAGAGCTAAATGGAAAGAATGAATGCTAGTTGCACAGTACACATTTTTAGTAAAGCAGGAACAGAACAGTCCTATCTAACATTTGCAACTCACACTAAAGAGGATAAACAAAGTCATTCATTGCAGCTTGATTGGGAATAGGGAAAAATAAGAACTATATGCTCATGAAATGAATAAGTAAATTATGTATCATAAAATCATTGCAATGTATCTAAGAAGCTGGCAACAGCTTTGAAAATGTTTATGTTTAAAAGTTATGTCCTTAATGTGTTGTACTATGAGAATTAATGGTAAGGCTAGTCTTCAAACAATACTTTATACTTTGTTGGTGCAATCTGTTGAAATCTTTACTTAGTATATACTAAGTTGATCTTCTGTATGTAAAGATAATTAAAAATGAATCATAATAAAGAATGGGATGGGAGAGGGAGTAGGAAATGGGATGGTTTGCAGGTGGGAGGGTGGTTATGGGAGGGGGAAACTGCTATAATCAAAAAGTTGTACTTTTGAAATTTATATTAAATAAGAGTTCTATAAAAAAAGTTACGTAAGTGTCAAATCAGAAATAAATGATCACACACACACACACACACACAAAATGAATTTTAAAGGCTTGGAAATAAAATGAGTTACAATGCCAACAATGAGCCACATTACTTCTGGATGCTAGGGCTTTAAGTGGCTTTGTTCTCCCTTTATGATTTTCTAAATATTTGTTTTCATGGTTTTTAAAGATTTTATTTGAAATGCAAAGTGACAAAGAGAGAGAGAGAGAGAGAGAGAGATCTTCCATCAATTGGTTCACTCCCCCAATTGCTGCAATGACCAAGGTTGGACCAGGCCATAGGTAGGAGCCAGGAACTCCATCCAGGTCTCCTATGTGAGTGGCAAGGGAACAAATATTTGGGCTATCTTCTGCTGCTTTTCCAGGCACATTAACAGGGAGCTAGAACAGAAGCAGAGAATCTGGGATTTGAAGTGGTGCTCCCGTGTGGGATGGTGCTCTCACAAGTGGTGGCTTAGCCTACTGTACCACAATCCCGGTCCCCTAAATCTCTTTCCTTTAATCATTAGAAGGTTTCACTCAAATTGGAAAATACAATTAACTTCATGGTTAAAAATAGAAAAATATCAGGGAAATTAAGAAGTGTTAAGCATGAAAGCCAAGATTTGTTAATTACTGTTCATATTCAACTTCCTATAAAGCTACTTCGTATAGATTAAATTTGTCAGTTTAGACTAGGCACTCAATTTTGCAAAAAGCACACTTTTGACAGTCCCAGTGTAACATTGACACAACACACACAATTTAACATAATTCATTTACAGCCAGTATGGACAGTCGAAGTTGTTTTGACTGTACTCTCTTGTATTGAGCATTCCAAGCTCTGATGAACCAAATTCCCATCCTAAGAATGTTGAATGCTCAGGAGGAAGAGAGAATATTTGGTATGTGCATTTTATTTCTGTTGGGGATTCAGAAGCCCTAGCTCTCAATTCTAGGGCACTTCCTCAAAACAATTTTCTATTCAGGTTAACATATTAATTATCACTTTGAAATATTTTTCTATTTGAGCTGCCTTAATCATTTCAATTTACAAATAAGAACAAAGGAATATGACTTTCTTACTCAAAAGTCATCATTCTAAAAGCCTCTTTTGCTGCTTCTGACTGTATTCATTTTAGTTTCTCTTTCAAAATGAAAAATAAACTATAGATATTAGCTGGAATCTTTCAGTTGGGTCCTGGCTCATGGTTACTGAGCTTCCTATTCATCACCCATCACTCTGAACATCACTAGAGCAAAATGATTTTTTCAGTTGGCAAAATAGTTTGCTGAGCTCGGAGACTCCTTGATAGCCTAACGAATTAATTTTGGCTTACAAAGATATTTATGTTTCAACAGTGCTTGAGACAATAAGAATATGGATAGGCAACATGCTTAGTTACTTTGATGGAAGTATTGTAGTGACACACAGTGTTTTTTTGGGGGGGGCACTAGAAAACTGGCTAAACAATATGCTCAGCCTTCATTTACAAAGTGGCATTATGATCTCTCAATTCACTAAGGATAATCAGAGCAGAATATGAACATCTTTCCATTACCCCCAGGGCAAATACATTTATCGAGTTCTGGCACATGTGCACACACACAGTAGAAGCAACACAAATCAACAGAAACAGTATTAGAACAACCACGAAGTACCTGACCTTGCAGATATTTTTGAATGGCATTTACATTTTGACCAATATTTGCAATTGGCCATACAGGAGTCTGGTTAACATCAGAAGGACAGGGAAGACTGTAGGAAAGTCTGACCTAACACTGGATGTGTCCCCTGCAGATACCAATGTATTCGACCCTGAGAGATGAGGATAAGAGAATTTGACTTAGAGGAATGTGGTGACATTCCATTGAGAGTGGCTAAAGGGATTTCAGAATAGATGCTATTCAGATATCCTAACATGTCAGGGCCAATTGTCTTAGAGTTCTGAGTTTGTAGCCTAAGAGTAGGGCCCCAGACACATGCACATAGGCCTTGCCTTTGGAGGATTGGGTTATCACAATAGGGGCTTAGCCTACTCAGTGAACTGAAGAAACCAGAACTAGGGTAGAAAAGGAAATTGGTTCTTATAATCAAGGCAAGTATTCAGTTGTTAGAGGCAAGGCAATACAAAAAAACCCACTGCCAACTTAATTCCTTCATAAAATATGAATGAACCCTGAAAAGAGCTCTTTCAATCCCTTAGGCTGAAGCCTATAATTATTCATAGAAGCCAGAGTGCATCAGAGCCTTTAATAATAGGTGAAATGATTCAGAGTACTCAGAAGTGAGGGTTACAGAAACTTGCATCAGGCATCATTTGACATTCACTTAGCTTAAAGTATGGACTGTCTATAGTGATCATCACAAACTCTTGAGTTGGATTTAAGTATGAGTTTCAGTATGAGTTTAAGTGGAGTATATAGAAGGAGTCCAGTTTACATTAGGTCCCATAAGCAAAAATGTGAACCTAATCCTGGAGCCTCTTAGGGTCATATAAGTTTTTGCACATAAACACAATGTTTCAAATGAGATACAAAATGGAATTAGAAAACTTCTTTCATTCTTGCATAAATGTTAGCCATTTACTTAACCAAGATATATTAAATATTGCATATGTGCATTGTAATGGGATGACCTGTATCCCAATTTGTTCAAGTCCTAAAATCAAATACCTGTCAATGTGATCTTATTTAGAAAAGGGGTCTTTATAAATATAATTAAGATTAGGTGATACTGAATGAGCCTTACTTCATTGATTTTCTCATAAGAGACAGAAGGAAGAGATTTACATACACATAGAAAGAAGGCCATATGAAGATGCAAACAGATTCAAGTTATACTGCCACAAACCAAAAACTACTAAGAATTGCCTACAAACCACAGAAGCTGAAAGGGGCAAAGAAGGATTTTCCTCAAGAGCTCTCAAAGGGAACACGGTGTTGCTGATCCCTTGATGCTGAACTTCTAGCATCCAGAATGGCCAGAGAATAAATTCCTCCTGTTTTAAGCATCCCGTGTGTGGTACTTTGTCAGGGCATCCCTAGAAAGCTAATAAATTCATGATATTATGTGTGTGACAGATTAAACACAGAACAGCATCACTCTTTGTTTCATTTCACCATCTTTTGAATATTCAGTACATTAA